CCCGGAGGCTTCTTTGTACCTGCTTCACGTACGGCTGGGCCGCGTTCTCCAGGTAATCAAGGTGGTGGGAGGAGGGCGGTCGGTCGCTAATTTTGTCCTTTTTTTTTCAACCACCTCGTGCTTCTCGTTCGCGAGAGCTCATCGTGATAAAACTGCGTACTTCAGTTTTTTCCCACTTCACCGCGCAGATGCGGCTTAATTCTTTCTTGTTCAACACGTCTAAAATTGTGTCCGAAAATAGCATTGTCTAGTTCTCATGATTATGGTCTGCGCTCTCATTGTTTGTGGCAATTATCGGTGTTACGCAACAGAGGTGTTACGAAATACAGAAGCTGTCAATCTACTCCGTGGTTTATTGCGAATAGAATGGCAGTTACTCTGCGTCATATGAGCAAAAATTCTGCGCGGCTTTTAAGTTCTACCGGTGCGTCGTCGCACTCAAAACTCGAGTAACTTAGATAGTCCCCTTAAGACTGTCTCTACCAGAGGGCGAAGTCCCCTCCCCCTCCTCACTCTCTACCATAGCACAGAGCGGGCCCTCGTTTTACTTAAAAGCCATCGTGCAATTCACAAATATTCTTAGACTTGCTGCGTCAAGATTTGTCAATGTAAAGTGAGGGGTTTATCTCGCCCTGATCTCACAACGGCAAGATTGCTACGGGTTCTACGATGATAAATTATGATTGTCTTAGCAGCATTGGCTGCTTCAGCTGCTTTTTTGACAAATGATGGTCACCCGCATGAGAGGTAGCGCCCTGGGCAGCGTTCGGTCAGCCGGTACAGTATCCTGAGCCTCTGCGCCGCGGGTTTACTCTCTCAGAAAAAGGGGCATCAGTCTCGGCCTCCGCCTCGGCATCAGTTGTGTAGATATGTCCCGAGTGGAACTGGTCACTTGCAATAAATGCAATTGTTTTTCAACTAACAAAAGCAGAATACTTCGAGCCAAAACTTGGCATCTCTTACCATTTACGCTCTAAATGCGAAAGGGCAATTTCGTATGCGGTGGGTTTGTGTGTTAAGGTGCGCTAAAAACAGCGTAGATGAGAGACAAAACGACGGAAAGTCCTTACAATTTATATTTTGAAATCCTTCGGCGTTTGCAAGTGGTGCCGTTGCTTGTGCTGCTGTTGCTGCTCCTGATGCTGTTGCAGCAGAAGTGGGGGTAGCTGACGGATAGCGCGCTCCTTGCCGGCCTCCCTGAAGTGCGTGAGCACGGTCTCCAGGACGGTAGTGCAGCCCACGTCTCTCGTCTCGGTGAGCACCGACTCCCTGACGGCCTTCATGTGCTTGAGCTTGTTGGCGAGGACGGCACGGAACGTGTACTCGCCCAGGGCGACCAGGTCCCGCTCCAGGCGCTGGTGCGTGTAGCCCACCGACACCAGGTTCTTGAGCAGGGCGCGCTTTCGCTTCACTCCGCGCCCGACCTGAGGATCGTGAGTGTGCGTCAGCGTCACACCGTTGGGGCACAAGTGAGAAAAATAACCTTCGATTGGCCGTTTCCCCCCAAATCTCCACGGAGTGCCGCACCAAGTACTGACTTGGAGACGCTTGGACGCGGGCTTACTCTAGAGGTTGTGACGACACGTCGTAGGTCAGTCAAATGGTGGTCGGTCCGAAGGCGCCATTCGGCGAAACGAGCGCAGCAGTCCCAGCTGAAAGACAGCTTGGGCAGCGGGGCGAGCCACGGCGTCAGGAGATCGCTGGCATGAAATAAAGGAAAAAGCGAAACGTTTTTCTGTTTATGTTCCATTTGCTTTCAGCCGAAAAAGAATATTGCAGCAAGCATTTTGTCTGAAACATGCGACGTAGTCTAAATCCAAACGACTCCAATCTCGCGTTCATATTACTGACAAAAAATAATTTCCAAGCATGAATAGGGCGAGGGATAGAAGTAAGCGCTCCAGATTTAACAGTAACACTTGGTGGGTGCTCTCACCACTCGTAGTAGCGGCACAGGATACGGTACAGCAGTCGGGCGGCTTGGCCGGCGGGAAGATGCCCCTCGGGCTGCGCCTTGCCGAGCACGTCCATCGCTAGCTCGGCCAGCGTCAGGGGGCTGGCGTCGCCCCTCAGCAGGCGGGAGTTGACGTCGCAGAATCCCCGCACTACCTAAACGAGTAGGCGCTGAGCGGAGTTGGAACGCACAAGTTTGAAAAGTGTCCCATTATTCCCTTTTGAGCGCCCGCGCCCGCCCCGCCCACCCCCGGCGCGAGGGAGGCTGGCGTGGTAAAATGACTTTAATATCAGGGGGGTGACTTAAGAAAGTGAAAGAAAAAAGAGGCGCTGTGCTTGGCCGGGTGTTTGAACCTTAGCCAGGGGTGACCTCTCCTAGAACGTCCCCACCTGCGCCATGTCGGCGGCCAGCCGCCTCCGGCGCACGGCCAGCACCAGCCGGGCCAGCTTGCAGGGGATGGCGTCGTGGCTGAGCAGCAGCACCCCGCGGCCCCCGCCCGCCCGGCTCAGCCAGTGCAGCAGCCGCCCCAGCCCGGCGCGCTCGTCCACGCTGCGCGCGCCCCGCTACGCTTAGGCTTGTTAGACAAGGACACTCGCAAGGAGGATTTTATTTTTGGTATTTTTGTTTGCCCCGCGCTCGCTACGGCCTGTACCTGGCCGCGGGGGCACATGTGCGGCTTAGCCTTATCCGGCCGTGAGAAGGGCGCCAGCCGGGTGACAAATGCTGAGCTTGGCGCCTCCGGTGCGGGGAGGGGGCGGGATTGGCAGGCAACTCGCCGAAAATTAAGAGCAAGCGAAAGTTGTTTCCGCTTGTTTGCCGTGCTCCTCTTGGCCAACCCCCTTCCCGCCCCGCATCTCCCCTCGCCATCCCTTCCCATATATTGTGCACGCGCGGGTGTTTCCGTGCCGCCTTTCGAAGCCCTTTATTGGCAATTGAAAGATGGGGATCCCGTGTCCGTGCCGGCCGCCCCGAGGTAGGCCGCCCACCTGGCGCACCCCTATTATTGCGGACGGGGCCGGGCGGCGGGCCTAGCGGAAAAGTTTGCTGGAGCCCAACGACCCTGGGTACTTGTGCGTCGGTCCGCATTATCGCACTGACCTCTCTATCTCGTCAGTTCCAGGTTCTCCAGCTGCCTGAGACGCGGCTTTGCCGCTGGGGGGCATGATGTCGACGTGGAAGCTGGCTTCTCTTTCCGCGGCGTCTCCCGTCTGAGGGGCGTTCACGGGGACGCAGAAGGCGCCGATGGCGAGGATGTCGTCGCCCAGCGTGTCGCCCGCCATGGCCAAGTCCCAGGTCACCACTGTGGGCGCCGCCTCGCCCCTACGGTAAGCGGGTCGTTCGGGGACGGGAGGCAGATCGGGGTCGTCCATGGGTCGCTGCCGGGTTAGCGGGAGCAAGGGGAAACCAAAGGAAATTTAGGGAAATGTTTTTAGACCGCGAGGAAACGTACACGTCGCGTGTACACTGTATATAGCGACACTTACGACATGCTAGAGGGAGGGCGGGATACTATAATGGGTGCTGGGTGCAGAATCCCTAATGGAGTTCATAGGGGCCCTATTTGATGTTTGTATCATGAGGTATACATATTATGGGGTCAAATATGACCACCAATGGTGGTTCCAATTCCCATATTATTTGTCTGCCCTTCCCTAGGGAACGTAGTAGGTGTGCACGGTCCCTATGTTGTCAGCAGAACCTCAGTGACGAGCTGCTCTGAAGTTGTCTTGTCAGCGAAATGGTAATGATCGCGCCTCTAGAAGCGGTGGCGATTAGTGAATGACAAGGTAATTGCATCCTTGCTAACGGCGGCCGATCACTTGCGGCGCGGATACACCTCCGCCCCGCGCGGATTACCCGACTACCTCGTGCCGCTGAGGGAGTCGCTCTCAAAACCAGGAAGAATATTATAATTAGTATGTAGCGTCATTATTTGTCTCCACGAAAGCGAAAATGGCGCGGTAAAGCGGAGGGAGCACAGGCGCTGTACCTTATAATCTCTCTTCCCCATTCGTCCCCATCCCCTCTCCCCCTCCTCCCTTCCCTCTTCCCCCCTCTGTCTCCGGCTGAATATATTCCATTTTCCATGTATCTTGTTCGCAGGTCTGTGTGTGTGTGTGTGTGTGTGTGTGTGTGTGTGTGTGTGTGTGTGTGTGTGTTCGTGATCACAACTATCGCGCGTATCACAACACCAACCGTTGTGCGTCGGCCGGCTTATCCTTTTCGCAA